GGAGTTGATTACCCGCCCATGCATCCATGGGCGTCCCCAATATCCATTATGAACATCTTCTTCCCCAGTTTCAGCGCCCTCAATGCCACAGCACAGCAGCTCCTTCTCAACAGCACAAATAGCTATGTTCGATTGCTTTATATTAGAGCAGTTTTTGCAATCTTTATTCACTATACCTATTATTATACAGATAACTTGATCAACAAATACTTTAGTTTATTCAGTCCAATAAAAAGAGAAAAGACATACCTACTAACAGAGAATAGCTCAGACTATCCACATATACTACTATGACAAGGCATATAAAATAGTAATTACTTAGATATATCGATAACCATTTACAAAAGAAATAGATTCTCTTATAGTCTATGTTAAGACCTGAGACATCATTCAGGACTAATTGTTGAGAAAGAAGCCTCTATTATACTCCTCTTAGAATAGCTCTTGCAGTTTCTAATACAAGAACCACCAGCTTACACTTCATTATCGTAAATGGGAACATCACGAGGAGATTTCTATCTTGTCGATTGGCACATTATTAAAAGTCTTAATAGGTCTATTGGGAGAGTGTTATAAGCAATATCTCAAACTTATTCAGTGGAAAGTGCCAGTATTTTAATTAGAAGAAGAGAAGTAGAAGTGGACTGGCTTAAGATATATAAGGGACATCTTGACTGTCCTAATAGATAAGGCAGTGAAGAAAGATGTTTTAGAGGATATAAAATAATTCCTTAACAAAAAGACCTAAAAGTGATATATAGCCCAAGGGATTCCTTACAAACGAGGGTATCTCTTGGATGACCCTCCTAGGATGGGGAAATCAAGCTTCTATCTTTCTGTTGCTAGGCTATATAAGTTGGACATATATATTCTCAACTTGTCTAGTCTTGGTGATGCTAGGCTGGCCAAGCTTTTTACTCAGCTTCCTCCACGTTGTATCGTCCTCCTGGAGGACATGGATGCCATTGGCTTGGACCATAAAATTACTGGCACAGAGCTTATCCAGAAAGACACAGCTTATTATGGAGTATCACTATCCGGGCTCTTGAATATCATTGATAATATTAGGTCATAGGAGGGTCGCATACTCATCATATCAACAAATCACATCGACCATCTAGATGAAGCCCTTATTCGCCCGGGTTAGATAAACAAAACTATTATGTTCAAATATACTGATAAGAAGATTGCTGCTTAACTTTTCTATACCATCTTTAAACAGATAACTATAGGATATAAGCAACCAGCAAAAGAAGCCAAAGATATAGCTATCAAAACACTGGCTGAAAAGTTTGCTACTCGTGTTCTAGAAGAAGAGTTTAATCCAGCCAAGATCCTATCATTCCTTTTAGAGCATAAACACTCACCTGCAGATGCTGTTAATCACATTTAGAAATAGGTGACCAAACAAAAAGAAGGAAAGGAAGCCGCGTCCATGTTGGAGAGGGAGAACTTGTGGCTCAAAGACGAATAATTTTATATCTAATGCAAAGACCCCTGCTGTAGGTTGTATGGAAAACTATAGCGCAGCAATTTTATGGCTGAAGTAGTTACTGTCTCTAAATAGTTCTATAGTTACGACAGCCTTTTCTATTTGTTTTAAATCCGCCTTGATCGTCCTGGGTCGTCCTGGATTGTCCTGGATCGTCCTTACTATATATTATTCATTCCTATTTGTCTGTGTTTGTTTTTTATACTTGTCTCGCACCGGCCTCATAACGTACTACGTGGCGCAGTTTGGTAGTTGTTGAGCTTATGTAGTGATTAAGTGGGTCTTTCCCCTTCTGACTAAACTAAAATAACTTTCTGTGTCCTACTGTAATAACAGCCTGTCAATATAAGGCAAACATGTCTCAGCAAGAGCTAGACGAACTACGCAAGCATCTAGAAGAAGAACGACGATGACGGGAAGAAGCAGAACGACAACGAGAGGAAGAACAACGACGACGAGAGGAAGAACAGCGACGACGAGAAGAACAGCGACGACGAGAAGAACAGCGACGACGAGAAGAAGCGGAACAAAACCTAGACCGAGAAAGACTACAAACTCAGAACACAACACTCCCCGAATTTCTCAATGTATGCCACGAACATCTCTCTCGCAATCTAACTATTTAGAAGGATAAGAAGTCATTCACCAAGGGTGATCCTGTAAATATAGACCGCAAGCTACGACCGACCAGAATCTAGGAATGGGTAGACTTTCCATGCGAGCAAGTGGCAATATGGGCGGACCTTATAGATATAGATTTTGTGACCGAACGTCACTTTATACTGTTGCTAGCGCTGAGGGAATCTGGAAAGGATATTATGAAGTGGATGCACGGTTCTGAGCTCGATATCGGATATTTTCAACGTGAGACTGTGGAGTCGCATGTTGTGTCTATGATCGAAGAGCTCTACGCCAGCAGGGAACTGCGGCGAAAATTCAACCTTCGTGGAAACGTGATATTCGAAAACTATGCCAACATATTGATGGATACATCCAGAATCATTATAGACATGAACTCTCTTTGTTTGGAACTAGAAGGACCTTATCACTTAGAGCGCCTAGTAAGACAGCCTTAGGGCACCTCTAGGTTAACATCACAGATGAGAAGATAAACCGCCGCACAGCCATGCCGCTCTTATCCTCGAGCAGACTAGTTTTACGTTTATAACCAGGGCCCAGACGAGAAGATTCTATCTTTTTTTATTGAATATAAAGCACTATATAAGCTGTCTCTCACTCATATCAAAGCTGGACTATAGGACATGGAACTAGACCGCATTATTTGATACTAAAATGACGAATCACTAGAGGATATCTGCCATTGTGTTATTGCCACAGTGATTATGCAGCTCTTCTACTACATGTATGAAAGCAGAAATGAGTATGGCTATATAGCAATGGATGAAGTCTTTATATTTCTCTATATACCTTATAATAACCCTTCAATAGTTCTCTACTATCTATTGGTCCCGTAAGAAGATGTTGGCAACACCATCTAATGGCCTAGAGATGACAATTAGCTATATCTCACCGCAGTTGGCCAGCTTCTCACTTTCATCTTATGAGCTCTGCCAACTTCTCCGCATAATATTACTTGGAGAAATCAGCATAGAGATTAATTAGAAACATAGGAAATGGTATATGACGACCTGCTAGAGGAAATTGAGGAGAAAAATATCCCTATTTCTAACTATAGACCACCGCTGAGCTGATTAGATTATTGCCGCTAGTCTCCTGTAAAGATAAGATTAAAGTCGGTAATGGCTCTTTTCTATAAACTATCATAGGAATCACACTCATCCAATCATAAAAATAATATTGATGATTGCTTGGACTTATCCACTCCTAGTTGAGTGCTCTATGAGTCTTACTCTTCTCAACGTCAAGCTATAGCTGCCATAACTTGAATATCTACTCGATCATAACCATCGGCTTCGAAAGGCAAGTCTTAGAAATATTATACTTAATAATGCCTTCGCAGCTTACATAGCAAGGGACCACTAGATCTAAAATATTCTAACACAAGCGAGCATAGAGCTGATTGACATTGAATTAATCCTGTAATACTTATTAAATTACTGGATTAATAGCTCTCTATGAAACTAGATCCTGACAAGAAGCTTAGATGCGAATCACCTTATGTACATGGCACATGTAGGGCTCTTTTTAAGATCACTCTCTAGTCGTATAGGTATACCTTCGTGGGGAAAGAGGTTCTAATTAAGTTCATTAAATATGCGAGGCAGGAGAAGAAAATATATTCCTATCTCTATATAATTTAAGGACAGCATGTCCTAGTTGTTCTTAATAATATCAACCTTTAACGACCATTTTTATATAATGAGATCGCTATAATAATTTATTTAACTCTAATAAGCTATACGGGGAGAAATCTAGTAAGATAATATAAAATTAATCCAGCTTAGCTTATTACTTAGGCTGAGATAGCCTTATATACTATCTATAATCTTGATATTCTCTATTACGATCTAAACCTAGGAAACATCACTATGAATAAAGCAGATCAACAGCTCATGTTCATTGACTTAGAACGAGCGCTATATTAAAAATGGATTCTACTAGATTCTATTACTACTAATTAAAAATGAAAATGGATAACTAGCCTCTAGAATAAAAGCCCAAATAAGCGCTTTGACTCTTTTTAATAAAAGCTATCACGCATATAGTCAACACTACAATCCTAAGTATATTTTGTTTTAATAAAGAATAGAGCTATATTGAATATATAATGTATTAATGGATGTATTGTTCCAACTAGGAAGTGGGTCTTTACATATATGGTGTATATAACCAGTTTATCAGCCCCTCAATATTAGAAGAACGATGAATCACTTTATATATCTCGATACACTCGGAGGCAAAACCGGTGTCGGGCTTTTACTCTCTTCGATAGTTTCTCAATCCCTGCGCCAAGCGGGGCTCGACTACAGTTAGGCAACCGCCAAGACGGCCACAGTTCATCGTACTATGTATGGTATCGTATCAAACATACCCCGGTCAAGTCTTACAAGACCTGTTTCTTGGCATACACGTAACAGATAATTACAGCTAGGCTTCCGTATGGTTTTCGAAATGAATACTTGAGAACAAGAGAATACAGAATCATCTAATCTTTCGGTTTCATGCATTGTTTGTAGATAAGTGTGCATTCAGACATCAACCGCCCTGAGCGTTCTCGCGTCGTAGTATTTTAAGCTAGTTACAGTTCCACCAATGACACTTCCGGTAGCTTGCCGAAGGGTGGAGTGCGATCCAGCTGTCCAGGTTTCCATTCCTGGTAAGCGCCCAATAACAACTTTCATATGTGGATACGACAGTCTCGGCTACTCCGTAGAGTGCCCCGCTATGCCGTCAGAAACGCTCAACACGTGCGACATGAAAGCTTGAAGAGCTCGCCCGCCCCTCTTTTTTAAAATCTTAGAATCCACCCGATTTCCCTTATTTTCTTTACGCCCTATTTTTTTTTCACCTTGTAATTCCGGAAGATATGGATCCCTTCAACATTACTGTTGGCGCTCTTGGCATTACAGGGTTTGCTCTATCCAGCATCGACAGCCTTCGTGATCTGATTGGTAGCCTCGCTGATGCCGAAGAAGTAGTCCAAGATATCGCTTCAACCTTGGAGGCCATCCAGCGCCCTCTTACCACCCTAGAACAACTCACAATTTCTGACCATGCGATATATGCCGAAGCCAAATCAGATCTAGAAAATACTGGCGTCGTGGAGGCTGTGAATAGATGCGGCCAGGCGTGTGCCGACTTCACACGAAGACTTCAGCAATGGATAAAACATTCTAACAATTCCAAGCTTTCTCTCCGAGATCGCCTTTCCGTTGGCCTATGGAATAGGGAAAAGATCCGTACATTTAGAACACAAATCCAATCTTGCCAGGCCATCGTTCAGTTTGCCATTGAAAGTACCCAACTGTAAGACCTTGCAAATTCCGCTTTTGATTATATACTGATACCCTGGAAGACTTGTTCAGCTTCGCTCAGAGCATACTTCGAAGATCGATCGCGATAAATTAGACACCCGATTGCAGAACCTAGAGAAAGCAATACAGGAACATATTACCCTCATATGCAGGCAGCATAAAGATGCCTTGGAGCGCCAGGAAGAACTTCAAGAGGAACCAGAGGACGAGGATGTTAATGGTGCGCAACGAACTCTGGCAATAAGAGAAGTTGAAGAGCAGTCACGTCTTCTAGAGAGTGATCAAACTGCGTCAGAAGTTATATCATCGCAATTGCGCGCCATGATCCAAGGTCAGCACGGCGGCAACACATATAGCGCAGCGTTTTCAGGTGGACACAATAGTGGCATGCAGTTCGGCTACAGCACGGGTCCCATCAATTGGAGTTTAAATAGCAAATATAACTACCTTACTGGCAAGTCACTGTTTTCTCTACTATATGGCCACTATAGAGCCGTGCTGATGGCATACATGTTGCGCAGAGCTTCCGGAGACTCCAACTGGCCCATCCCTATCAATCCCATTCAGCCGCAACCCGGATTTTATAGACCGTGAGACTATCCTTGATCAGCTCCATCACCGATGTGCTGCACCAGGGTCCAGGACCGCGCTGGTAGGTTTGGGTGGTGTCGGGTGTGTAAAATATGCATGTGGTTCACTGGCCCACTACTAACTGAGTATGAAGGAAATCACAGCTTGCCATTGAGTACGCATATCTGACCCACGAGCGATCTCCGGAAACATGGATTTTCTGGGTTCATGCCAGTAACGCCGCCCGGTTTGAGCAGAGCTATCGAGAGATTGCGGATACCGTCAAGCTCTTTGGGCGGCAGAACCCCAAGGCCAACATCTTCAAGCTTGTATACGACTGGCTGCGAGATAGCAAGAATGAAAAGTGGATTCTGATACTTGACAATTTCGATGATGCTCATTTTCTTCTTGATCGCGACCGTGGTATGCAGGATCAGGTTACTCATGAAAATAGCAGTGCTGGTTGGCTGCTGCGAGAATATCTTCCACAGAGCCCGAATGGGTCCATTTTAATAACATCACGAAGCAGGGAAGCTGCATTGAAGCTAGTAGATCAGCGCGATATTATCGCAGTCGAACCAATGGACGAGGCGCACGCACTCGCACTATTGAAGAAGAAGTTGGGAGACGTGGGCAATACTCAGGACATTATTGAGCTTGCAGCAGCACTGGAGTTTATCCCGCTTGCGATGGTCCAAGCCGTGGCATATATTTCCGACCCAGATCGGGGTTGTTCGATACGACAGTACCTTGATAATTTCCAAAAAAGCGATCGCAAGAAGATCCGTTTATTAGACTACGAAGAGGACCAGTCTCGTCGAGATTGGGAGGCTGAGAACTCGGTCCTCAAGACATGGCAGTTGTCGTTTGACAGCATACGCCAAAGCCGACGATCAGCAGCTGATTTACTATACCTGATGAGTTTCTTTGACGGTCAAGGAATACCCGAGGCTGTCCTTCGAGACCACCACAGACAGGGGAATACGGAGCTGATTAAGGGCGATGATGCGGATGATAGTGAAGCACAGTCTAGCATGACGGATGAGTTCAACGATGATATCCTCATACTGCGCAGGTACGCCTTGATCTCGATTAATGTGGACCGAACGACCTTCAACATGCACAGCCTGGTGCAGCTAGCAACACGGAGATGGCTAGAAGTGAATGGCGAGCTAGAGAAGTGGAAGCAGCAGTATATCCAGAATCTGAGTGCGGTATTTCCCACGGGAGAGTATGAAAATTGGGCACAGTGCCGAGTACTTTTCCCACATGCAAAGTCTGCAGCAAAACAGCGGCCAGAGGGGCGAGACTCATTGGTAGAGTGGGCTTCTGTGCTGTATAAGGCAGCATGGTATGACTTAAGGAAAGGAAATGGGGCTGAGGGGGAGAAAATGTCAAACCAGGCGATGAAGGCTCGGAAGATGGTCCTGGGTCTGGAACATGAAGAAACACTGAACAGTATTGAGATGATAGCGTTAATATACTTGCTGCAGGGTCGATGGAAAGAGGCCGAAGAGCTGTTTGTTCAAGTGACGGAGACAAGAAAGAGAGTGCTGGGTGCAGAGCACCCTGGTACGCTGGCTAGCCTGGCTAATCTAGCGTCGACATACAGGAGTCAAGGCCGATGGGAGGAGGCCGAAGAGCTATCTGTTCAAGTAACGGAGAGAAGAAAGAGAGTGCTAGGTACAGAGCATCCTGATACGCTGACTAGCCTGGCTAACCTAGCGTCGACATACACGAGTCAAGGCCGATGGGAGGAGGCCGAAGAGCTGTCTGTTCAAGTAACGGAGACAAGAAAGAG